GCAAGTTAGCAAGCCCCTATCTCAAAATAAAAAAATAAAAGAGAGGCTGGGGCTGTAGTCCCGTGGCAGAGCACTTGCCTAGCATGTGTGGGGCACTGGGTTCAATCCTTAGCACTGCATAAAGAACTAAACAAATAAAGGTATGCTGTCCATCTACAACTATAAAATAAAAAAACATAAGAGGAGCTGGGAATATAGCTCAGTGGTAGAGTGCCCCAGAGTTCAATCCTCAATACCACCCCTCCAACACATAAAGAAAGAAAAGTAGACTGGGTTTACTTATAGATACAAGGAATTTCTTTCTTTTTCTCTGTCAAATAAGCATATCAAATATATAAGTGTTAAGCATTATCCTTACTTCTGAGGGTACATGAATAAAAATTCAGTCATAGACCTGAAGGGGCTCATAATTCAGGGTTTAAATGTTTAAGAATAAAGACAAGTACCAGGTGCAACTTGAGGAAGAAGGGCTGATTAACACTGGGTGTCAGGAAAGTATCCATAGTGATGGTGTTTGAGTCTTTGAAAATACCAAATGGACACCAAGAGGATCAAAGCACCAGAAAATAAAAACTGAATATTTCCAAGATGCAAAACAACCTGAGAGTTTAACAAAAGCCCATGGATACAAGTAAGGATAAGGAGATGGAGGAAGAATGTTGGTCCTATCAGTAATTTACTGGTGTATCTACTTCTTTCAACAGCTCAGATTTCCCCCAAGCGTTCTTTAGCTTCAGGGTGCCTTCTAAATAGAAGATGAAAATATTATTATAAAACCCACTTAAATAAACCTCCTATATGAAAAAGTCAACTCTTTCCAATTTGTTGAAATAGGAGAGATATAATATTTATTTCATCAAGAGGGTGTGAGGCTTAGTTGGGATTAATTTATTTCATTATTCCTTCTAGGGTACTTCAAAATTTATATAATTCCCTTACGTGGTTTGTAGGAATAGACTTCATGAGATTTTGATGAGAAATATTATGAATACTTCATCAGGGTTTTGCATCATTCTTTCAAGTATAAGCTTTTCCCAGTCCCTCCCTCATCACAAGGTACCAAGCTCAATGAGAGCTTCCCAAATGCAAGCCTTGGCTAATCCACTTTCCATGCTGCTGCCTCTTTCAACACTCCAGAACCTTCTTTAATAGTAGGGCCCTCTACCTCCTCTATGCTTAATTCTTGATACTCTTAGAGCATATACTGTTCACATGCTTATGTTTCCCCAAGTAGATTGTGAAGAGCCAGAGGTTATCAATTACCTTTCTTTGTCCTTTGATTTTCTAGCATCTTATACAAGAACTAGCAGACAAGAAAGGATTAAATAAAGTTTTATCAAGTGAATGAGTGCTCAAACCCTTTGCTCTGGTTACAAGGTAAAACCCAGCCTGTGGCACCTGAGGATGTGTCACTTTCCTAATTTTCTTTTGGTTATTCATCTGCCCAGCATGTCCCCTTTCTGATGAACTATGGACATCTATTATTTAAGGCAGGGGTTCTCAACCTTGGCTGCACATTGCAATCACTTAAGCTAGCCTTATAAATAAAATGAACATTGATGCATGGACTCCTACCCCATCCCTGGCAGAAATTTAAATTTCATTGGTCAGGGTGGGGCCCAGGTATTAGTATTTTATAAATGCTTCTGTGATGAGTCTGAAATGCAGTGGGGTTTGAGATTCCCTTGGTTTAAGGTGATACTCAGGTCCCACCTTCTAGAAAGACTCAAGGTGTCTTTGATAGTTTCACCTTCCTTAGGATTCAAAGTATGTACTTTTTTTAACCATTCATTAGATAAAAAATAAAATGCTGCCTTGTGACTATATTTCAGTATTTCTTAAGTTCTTTAACTCCTGTACTGTATTTGGTTGTTCATGAGTCTGTATATATGTATCGTCTTCGTCCCTATGCTGGAAGCAACTTGAGGGCCAGAACTGTGTCTTCTCCTTCCTTCCACCCCATGCCATGCACATCATGGATCCAGATATATTTTTGATGATTTAAAACAATTGCAACAACAACAACAAAACTAGTAGAGGCCACTTTAATGCTACTCTAAGGACATGTCTTTGATAAGAATAAAAATGTTGCAAAAAGGGTGAGGCAGGATTGAAGCAGAGTAGGAAAATGGTAAATGAAAGTCCAATGGGAAAAAAGGCTAAATTAATCCAAAAGAAAATGCTTCCCAGTTTCTCAAGGGGGTTTTTCCAAATACTGAAGCAGATAAACAAGAGAATTAACTTGGCTTGTGACCTGATAAGGAGACTTCATTTTTAGTTATATAATTTTACACAGTTTCCAGGGTGTAAAGAAAAAAATCAGCCAGGGAGGACTCCTTCCCTTGGACTATTCAATTCAGCTCTTGGGTTAATCAGATTGAAGATTGTTCAGCTTGACCTGACCTCCTTCCAGGCCCTGTGATCCCAGACTAAGCCTCACATTGAAGAGCCCTGGTGTAGAGCTCAATGTCATAGAAACGGGATGAAACATAATCCTTATTCCATAACCTTGATCTCTTGGTGTAGCAACTTCTGCTTGTGGACTAAAAAAACTCCAAGAAACAGAAAATTATATTTGATATCTTCTCCAAGTTGCTGGTGTCCCACAGGTATGACTGTTCTATAATGACCAGGCACACTTTTCAAGGAAATAGAATCATAAGAAAATATTATTTGGTGTTATTACCTGAAAGCCTGGCTTTAAAGTATTATTTGTGCACATATCACTGAAAAGGCTTATCTTCACGTGGCTTCAGTACTGGTCATGAAGTAAGACCACAGGAAAGCCTCACGGAATCACTAAGCCTGCCCTCTGCTGAGGCAAGATAAGGTCATCAGGCAGAGACATGTTTTTTACATCAAATTTTATTCTAGTTATTGGGTCACAAATTGAACAACTCATTCCCCAAAGCATGCTTATTTCTATAGTGTAGTTAAATGTATGTTCTTTTGCTTGGTTTGTCATTTTTACACTGGTGATATTTAACATTAATTGTTAATTATTGTTTGAAAATATGATTCAAAGGCATTTAAGTCTACCCCTGATTGATTAGTGATGATAGTACAAGTTGTCCTTCATAGATTAAGATAACATCACTGACCCGTCTAATAGGATATGAGTTGATGACTGTCACTGATCCAGCCACACTTTGCCCCTAGTTCTTCTTGTGACCAGTGGCCTGCATTTGACCTTATCAACCAAGAGCAAAGAGCCACCAAAATCCTCCTGTTACCAAAGAAATGCAAAATAATAGCATTTGTCCTCCCAGCCACTTCCTGTTGACACTGACAAAATGTAAAGGACTGGATTTTTTAGTTATTACAAGGAAACGACAAATGTGGCTCTAACTTGAAAATTCTAACTGGAATTAGTAAAACTAGGATCTAGGAGCCTCGAATTCATGATACTGTATATAACAGACCAAATCACAAATTCAGGGTGTATTACAGAAAGAATGTCCAATAAAATCTAAAACAGATTTGGAGGAAAAAATAAACAAACAAACCCACAGGCATAAACTATAGGCTTTTAAGAAGTGGGTAAAAGATTCATGAAAATGAATGAATCAACACTGATTCACAAGGAATTTTGCTTCCTCTAATGCAATTTAGATAGAAATACTTGACAGTCCTTAGTGATATCTCTGATAGCTGCAAACAAAGTTTACGTATCATGATTTACTATCTAGGGTACAAACCAAAGGTCATTAGGTTCTCCAGGAATATTTTTGGGTATGTTCCACCAGGAAGAGAAGTGATGGAGCCCAGGATACCAGAATCACTGGGGGAAAGGTATCATTGAGGTAATGAGCATGCCAGGGCCTGAGAACATAAGAATGCTTCCTGAACAGAAATAAGTCCATCTATCTTCTCAGAACAGGGCTGACCTAGTCACCAAGCTGGAATGTTATTTACACAATCCCAAGAAGACCTAGAATCCTCTGTTCTGTAACCAGGGCATTCATAAAGTTATGTCTGGAACAGGCAAAGACTCATGTCTGTTTTTCATAATTCCTGTCTCCTTGAAAAAGAGCCAATTTACCTAATGCAGGTAAAGGTAACAACACCCTACCTCCCATGTCCAGAAAGGACCACCAGATGTGATAGTTCATATTCTTTAATTAATAACCTGAATATGCCATATACTTAGCAAGTTGGGCAAATCTGGCTTCTGAATTCTGCCCTATTCAAAACAACCTTTTTCTTTCTGCGTACAGAAGAGATTGTGATTAAATCTGGTGACATAGCAGGATAAAGTCAAGGTAAAACATTAGAAAAAGAATTTCCTGATTATGAAAAACATCAGGCTATGGTATTCCTTTCTCTGGAGTATGAGAGAAGATAGAAAAAGTGGTAGACAGTATAGCTTTCTGGATGGAAGTGGGGCATTCTCACTTGGGGCCAGGATAGAAACTGTAAATAGGGAGCTCTGAGGAAGTCATTATCCTTTCCAAGGTCTCTCTGGCACCATTCAGTACTTTACACTACAGGCTTATGTAGTAATGTAAAAGTACCAGGATCTGGGGAAAAGTTCATTCACTTAGCAGGATCTATTTGGGCTAAAGTTCTCTCTCTCTCTCTCTCTCTCTCTCTCTCTCTCTCTATATATATATATATATATATATATATATATATACACATATATATATATATATACACACACACACACACACATATCTCACATATATGATAATCTCACTAAAAGCACAGTTAATATTTAATTAACAGACAAATTATCTAGAGGTGTGGTTCTTGGTTATTGCAAATATCTGGGGACATGCTAACTTCCTGTGATTTATTCTTACATTGTTTTCCAGTATGTGACTACTGCCCTCACTTCACTATAACTACCAATGAGTAAGCAAGGTTTCTCAATGCACTCTTGCCAGTGTTGACCCAGGATGGACAAAGTAGCCATCACTTTCAGAAGATGCTCTGATTTCTCAGTACATCTTGTTTTCTAACCTTGACAATGAAGAGAACACTGACAAAGAACTCACCTGTCTTCTCTCTGAATCAAGGGACCGGAGAATCAGCCTGGTGTTCACACTGTGACTCCAAGTGTTTCCTAGGGCGGCAATTACACAGCTGGATTCAGAAAAGCCTGAAATGAGATGGCAAAACCATGCTTATGAATCCCCTTTCTTCAAATAGTATTTTATATAAAAAATGTCCAATTAGTACTTGTTGCTTAGACAGTACTCAGAGGCTTGGTTCATCACCACAGAAGTCAATAAATTAGAACAGGAGGACGTGGTTAAGAAGCTTGAGACTGAAAATAAAAACTAGCATGTGTTTCCTTCAGCCTCTGTGAAAGTGACCACCACTGGGCCAAACAATAGCAGTTATATGCCAATGAGGTTGCACTGCAAAGCAGCTTGGAGCCATTGCTAATAATCAATCAAGCTCCCCAACATTCATGGCAGAAAAGCATTAAGAGCCAGTATGAAATAGTTTAATTTAATAGAGTTAGAGTTTTTTTTTAGCTTGATAAAAATCTTAACTTAATTTTTCTTATCAAATAGAAAAAAATGGCAGCATATACACATAGAATTCCTTTGCCCTCCTACCCACTGTACACATATACACACCCAGAAGGGGAATCTGGAAGATCGACATTTCACTTCTAGTCTATTTTAGACAGCCCTATTCCAAGAGAAACATGCTTTTAACTTCTAAGACTTTCCTTTTAGGGAGAGGATCTGAAGTAAACTTCATCTGAGTTCCACGTCTACTCCAACTTGCACTAAATGACTCTCTTCCATCTCTAGTTTCACTGATTACTCTTGACATGACAAGAAGAAAACCATTTCCACTCCTTTCCCATCTTCTTCCACAGGGGAAATTCTCCAAGTCCCACCACAAGAAGCCACCTCCACTAACATGTCTGGTGCATCCTGAGGTCTCCTCTGAACTCTCTTGCCCTCTTTGGCCCTTGGGCCATGGCAGGAATCCTGGCCTGGGGCCATGGATGTTACACATTTCTCCTGCCTCATATCTTCCAGATAGCATTTCTTTTCAGCAAGGAGACTAAGGCAGAGAGACTGAAGTCCACTGAAATATCTAAAATAAAATTAGGCCTTAGTGTCTCATTTTTATCCCCTGCTTGCATCATCTGATATGTACCCTCAGTATGGAATAGGAATTGGTCCTTTTTCCAAGCAAGATATCCTTCAGGGTAGTCTGTCAATTGCACATGGCCTTAATTGTCTGGGTCCAAATGCTACAGTGGATAAATGCCATTCAGTGGCTATTAGCTGGAGGCAACTTTGTTGGAAATGTCTAATTGAGAGTGCTAGGGGCATCTAGAAAGTAGAGACTGTTGAAGCCATTAAATATCCTGGGCAGTCCCATGACAAAGAATTATCCAGCCCCAAATAGAACAATACTAGGTTGAGAACCCCTGGGTTAGATAATACTAGTCACATACATCTTTCCTAGTTCAAGCAGGTCCAGGTATAATTAAGATGGAAATCAATAACATTTCTCAACAAATGGAGATTTTACCTTGAAGGAGAATTTACTATAGGAAAGAATAAGGGGTAGCTTTGGATCACCACGGACACTATTCAAAACATGCACAAACTAATGTGAACACAAATAATGTTCACATTTGATCTGCCCCATTCCCCTATTTAAAATCCTCAGTAATGCTCTATGCCTAAGGATAAAATGTCTACTCCTGAACAATGCATTCTGGGCACTTCATCATTTGCCTCCCTCTCTAAGGTCTATCACTGAATGGTTCACTGTGACCTCTTGACTTCTTTGTCCCATCCTCCTTGACCTCTTGTCAGCAGCTGATAGAGCATCCACTCTACCAGCCTTCTCTGCTTCTCCTTTTACATGTTGATTACTTCTTTTCGTGCCCTGTCTTTTTCTCCCTCTCTTCTTAGCTGTGGTGGACCTCAGGAAGCTCGGGAGACCAGATTTTTTCCCCTAATACCAAATGCCTTCAGTGGCTAAGAAGGTAAAGGTAATATATGTACTTTAGTAAAGAGCCCAGATGTCGATCAATTAATATGTAAAGGTCTGTATTACCATGAAGAGAGGTACTCCCTTCTATTCTTTTTGAAATATACAGTCTACCTTTCATTTTCCGCTTCTTGATAAGGACAATTTTTTTCTGCTATAGGAAAGTCAACACTTCAGGGGCAATAGCAATTATATTTGCATTTTAAAAAGTAGCTTTATATGTGTGAGATAATTCACACATCATAAAATTCACCCATGTGAAATGTACAGTTCATTGGCTTTTACTGTACTCAAAGTATCATTCGACAATCACCACAATCAACTTCAGAACATTTCATCAGCTCCAAAAGAAATCCCACATCCTTTAACCACTGTCCTGGGCACCCCATCCTTTGTCCCCAGCTCCAGGCAACCGTTAATCTACTTTTTATCTCTATAGACATCAAGGGACTTTTAATCTTGGAATATCAGGGAGGTGAATGGGAATGGGAACTGTGGTGAGAATGCATCCAGGATCTCCAGGGGCAGCCTCTGTTGTCATGTAGCAATGCAGTTCATAATTAACCACACCTTTTGATGTTTTTAAAAGAGAAGCCAGAAAACGATATTTTATGTAAAATTTCCTGATTTTTAAAATGTTAGCTTAATCTTAAAATTTTTGAGTTTTTAAGAACACACAAACATACTTGTGAGCCAGATAGTCTTGTTCTCATCAAGCTAGCAATGTCTGCTCCATACAGCATAATCTCACTGTTGACAAGTCCTGTGCAGGTGATTTCTAAGAATCTGTTTCAACCTCTGACTTGTCCCAGCACCTGTTCTCCATTTTCAACCACAAGAACTGCAAGTTGGACATATGAATTTTAGACTATCATTTCAATATCTTCAAAGCAAGCTCATAACTTCCAATATAAATGTACTCTTCCTTTTCTGTTGTTTTCTTCAGTCTTCCAATTACTTGTTTGAAACTTCAGTTTAAGTTTTATGTTTCTTTCTCTCCTATGCTTTTTACTTCAATAATGCTCACATTTGATCTGTCCCATTCCCCTATTTAAAATCCTTAGTAATGCTCTATGCCTGAGGATAAAATGTCTACTCCTGTACAATGTATTCTGGGCACTTCATCATTTGCCTCCCTCTCTCTGGCCTCATCTCTCTAAGGTCTATCACTGAATGGTTCACTGTGACCTCCTGTGAAGTCCTATTGATTTATCTGATTTATTTCACTTACATCCACCTCCTACCTTCCATCCCTCCTACTCCAATCTTGGACCCACGTTAGTTTCTACCTAAGAATGACCAGGTTAGATTTCTACCTGGTGTTCTTGCTGCTGTCAGCTTCTCCATACTGAAGACAATCCTCTATTTTCCCCCCTGATGACCATGGATAATTCCCCCAATTGAAGATGTTTTCAAGCATGCATAAGCACACTACTGTGCCACTTAAAACCAATATGCTCAAAAACTTTCAATGGCTCCCAAATGACTTCAAAGAATTTTAAGTTCCTAAGATGGACATTCAAGGGCCTTCACCCTGTGCTCAACCTGCCTTTTGTGCTTCTTTTCACTCCACTTCACATAGCCTTTGCTCCAATTTAATCACCCCAGTTCCCCTCTTTGTCTGGAATGCTCCTACATCCACATGTCCAAGACCTACCCTGCCTGCAATGCCACAGTCCACGTGCTGACTTCTCTTATTGTTAGAGAAATAATGTCTTCTTCCTCTAAACTTCCATAATAATTTACTTCACTCTTTGAATTGGGCACATTCTATCATGATATAATATTTGTGTGCTTTTCTTATCACCCTTAGTATATATTTTAAAAGGGTTAGATGTATTTCTAATTTATACCAGCATGCCTGACTGAATGCAAAACATGAGACCCAGAGGATGCTTAAAGAGTGATTAAATCACTAATAGGTTATTTCACTAAACTTTGAGCCATCTTATATACTTGTTATAGCAGTGCATTAAATTATTAATCCTATCTTGCTTAAGTTATCAGATTTAACTTTTACAAGCAAACTCGAGAAGCAAGTTGCTTATAATGTCTGCTAAGGGATAGGATAATGAGAGGCTAAGCTTTAAAGTTTGCCAAGAAAAAGCTACATGTGAATAATTAGGAGTTGCTAATTGGTTAGGCACTCTTTTTTTTTTTAAATAAATCCTTTATTCTTTTTTTTTTTTAAGAGAGAGTGAGAGAGGGGAGAGAGAGAGAGAGAGAGAGAGAATTTTTAATATTTATTTTTTAGTTCTCGGCGGACACAACATCTTTGTTGGTATGTGGTGCTGAGGATCGATCCCGGGCCGCTAGGCACTCTTTTTTTTAGATAAACTGGAGGAGATTCCTGGGTCTAAAGGAAGACACAGGATGTTTTTAGTGGTCAAAGCTGCATTTGGGCGAGTAGCAAGTATTTAAAGAACTCCATGACACTAAACCAATTAAAGCAGCATAAAAAGTACAATATACTTAACTCCTCAACAGGTTAACTCAGGTCCCAACTATGGGCCATGAGTGCAAATGACCATAGAAGCATTTCCAATGAAAACTGAGTAAGATTGAGATGTATCTCCAGGAGTCCTTACAAATATCATGCCACTGTAAGAGTAACAGCAGCAAGGCCTTGAAAGTTAATGATGCTAAAGACAATGTTTTTAAAAGTACTATACACTGGGCACTGTGAAAGCCTTTTTATCAGGGGCTTACATACTGTTTGAGTTTCATATCTTACATCTTTTTTGATCTTCATAGCAACCCTGTGAGATAGATAATGTTATTCCTATTGACAGGCTGAGGCTTTAAGAATTAAGTCACTCCTTCAAGGTTACATGGCTGGTTAAATCTTAACCACTACTCCTAATTGCCTTATCCAGGCTCATTATGTCTCTTAAGTCAAATATCCTGTTATTGTGCTAAGTCAATGGGGGCCTTAGGGAGGACTTGGAGAGCTCAAAGGCCCATCTTTTTGGATGACACTGGCAGAAGTATGTTGTGAGCATCCTATCACTCATCTGAACTCTGAATGTCACTAGGGCTTCACACTCAGCTTCCTCTGTTCTGATGTACTTTGATAACCTAGGGCAAGAGGTTTCCAGAAAGATAGCACATGTCCTGGCTCTGCAAGTT